AAGGCAACATTAGAGGCATAGTATCAGCAAAGCGTTGCATTTCATGAATCACGGCATTGGTATAAGGCAGGTTCTGCTGGTCCTCCATCATGGGACACTTTGCTCTGCCAACCACTTTATCCATTTCTTCATGAACTCTTCCTGGAAATATTTATTTGTGAGAATTAGGCAACAATCTCTGGAGTCATTCACCTTCCGAATACACACATGTAAGATCATGCTGTCAATGTATTATACCTCCTCTTTCTCCTGAGCGGTTTCGACTGCATTTCCAGCACCCCTAGGCTTGCAGCAATCTTGGGCACTGAACTTGCTAAAGAGAACATCCCTAGAGTCTCCTCTGGACTGTGGAAAGAGCCACCCCCCCCCCAGATCTGCCATGCGCATGAACTGAAAGTGATGAGCAGGTGGGTGGCAGACAGGGGAGATCAATCTGTGTGCTCCTCCCTCAGCCCATATGTGGCTGGCTGGATGCAGCTGGCAGGCATGAGGCTCCCACCAAGGATAACGCTCATAATATGAGTGGGGGAGGAGGAGGAGGCCCCATTTCATCCTCATATGCCCCCACACAACTGAGAGCTTCACTGCAGACTTTATCATTGCAGCACATAAGTAGCCTGAGCACTGGCCCAAGCTCACCCAGTGTCTTTGCCTCACCTGCTCCTTCTGGGTGACACACAAGCTCCCCTGCTAAAGACACCTGGGAAGGCTGTTGTGGGTGAGAGGAAATACCTGCTCTCTCCTAGCTCTGTCACTGCCTAAAGGCCGGGAAGCAGAGAGCAAGAATAAGTGGACAGTTCTCAGGGGGCTGGGATGCAACCACTAGAGGCCCCCAAGCATCTGTCTTAAGATGAGAACTGTTATAATGTATTAAATATTAATAAATATCAATAGATCATTCCTCCAACAAAAAATTGAATTATGAATGAATAATTTCTCACGCTGAACATCAGGATAATTGCCCAGGATAAGAAGCCCCCAGAGTACAACTGAAGCAGTGGTTTCAGTGGCAGCCACAAACAGGTCAAAAACCATATTGATGAGGTTATCTTCTGTAAAGCTGCTGTCTGGATTCCCTTCAGCCTGGAGGAAACGGGAGAAATTGGTAAGGGGTGAAACTGTGTGTTTGTTGTGCTCAAGACAGCAGTAGTGATCTTGCAAAGGAAAGCAAAGGGAAATACTAAGAAGGACCCAAGGGACAGGGGAGTAGTCATTAAAGATGCCAGCTGCATAGAGAATGAGCCCTCTGTGACATGGAAGGCAACGTACACTTCCCTGGCCCTGCTCTGCAGCTCTACTCCCACTGACCAACAAACCAGAAAGTGCCACGAGAGACCTTGGCCCACGGCACACGGGCCATGAGAGATTCCTGGGAACTGGGCCTGTGTGGCAGTGGGCCGAGTTGCAGGCTGGAAGGGCAGTGGCGGCAGGCCCCGGTCGGCTTCCCAGCACTCCTGGGTCCTGCGGTGCTTCTGGACTGGCGTCTGCGACGATCGCTCTTCCGTCGCTAACCAGCTGAAATCCGAAAGGGAAGTACCGAGGGACTGTGTCCACAACTGTCTTCATACCTTTTCTATCTCCTCCAGATACGCATCAATGATATCTCTCGGGAAGTTGGGGTCTCTGGTTTTCCTGTGCTCATTCACAATCTCTCTTATTAATACACACAGCTCTTCATAGGATTGCAGAACTTTACGATGAGGTCCCGGAAAATAGAACAGCCATTTCCCTGCTGCCAAGAGCTGGTAAAGCAGAAATCAAAGAAGGAGGAGACATGCGCGTCTTCTTCCACACCAGGCATTTCACATGAAATGCAGTTACATTCTGTTCGGCACGTCCTAGCCAGACACCTTTTCACGCTGGTGGAGGAGCTCCCACCCTCGCTCCCCCTGCAGTTTTCACCTCCCTCCCTGCCTCGGAACTACTGAAATTCAAGCTGAGTAGATTCACCATGTCACTTGGCATGACACAATTAATGCCTCAAGGAGCTCAGACGTGCCGGTTGCTCTTTTTTGTACCATTTCCCAACCTGGTCTTTTCACAAGTCAACTTAAACTTAAATTTTATTCCACGATATGTATAACCTACTTTTCTATCAGTTCTGATAGAACATAAATAGAAAAACATTAACCATACACATAATATAAACATTCGAAAACACTCCAGAAAGAAAGACAGGAGCCAAGATTCCAAGTCTCAGCACCAAGCCACAAGGCCCGGAACCTTTTCAAAAGAACCAGGAACTGAAAAGTGGCCAGAGACTGACGGTGTTTCCTAACCAGGATGTGGCAACCCAAAACATCCTCTCTTGAGTGACACCCACCACGCCTCACATCATTCTGTCCTTTCAGTGTCCCATCAAACCCATAAAGGTACCTGGGGCAGGATGCTGACTATTCCCATCGTAAACTGATCAATCAAATTCATTAGTCTCATGAATTTCATGTCATTGTATTCAAAGCGATCACCAAATGTTAGAACGCAGACAACATTGCTAACAGCTCTGACGGTTAGGATCCGCGGGTCAAAGAAAGAACCTGTGTGGGAGACAAAGGCCACCAACGTATTAGCATGTGCATTGTGCACAGTCTCAATAAGCAAGTATCGCTTTATTACGTTCCGCTCACTTGCGGAATCTGGAGGCCACTTAAACATCACGCAATACCTACATGGTTCACATGATACAAATGTTAAAATCACATTTAAAATATAATGCCAAAACTTTACTAAAGGCAATCCTGCTTACAAAAGTACAAAGCAAGACATCAGCAGTAAAAGCAAGAGCGGCAGGACGGATTTAGCTTGCAAGCCGTGCCAGCCTGGGTGAGCAGGAGGGGTTTCAGGAGGTGTCTGAAACACGCCCCACTTCCTCTCTCCGGAACCGCAAGGGAAGCAGCTTTCCAGAGGGTGGGTGCCGCTACAGAGAAGGCCAGCCACGGAGGCAGCCACACAGCTGGCATGATTCCACTGATTCGGGAAGGGTCAGCAATGCCTCCTCTGATGATCTTAATGTTGCCGGAGGTTAGATATGGGAGGGCAGTACGCTAGGTAATCGGGTCCAAGCCTTCCCACATGGTGCTGACGGGAGAACTCCAACGCACACTCCTCAGGCGCCAGCCAGACCAACGTTGCCAGATTAAACAGCCAAGTTCACTTTCTGATTAATGGGAGGCGAACCAAGGAATTTCATTGCTCAAAGTACCATCTCTCACAACATCAAAACACACCTCTGTACTGCTATTTCCCTCCTCTTCCCCTGCGCCAAGGTCCCTTCTCCTGTGTCGCATATTTCATCCTGCAGCCTTCCCAAGCAGGGACAAACCCTGCCGCCCTCACGCCATCTGCCTCTGCTACCAGCACGGCCTCGAGGCCCAAGTTCTTCCCCATGTCCCAAGAAAGAGATGCCGTGTACCTTCTTTGGATCTGAGCTCATAGCACAGATATTCAGCTTCTTCAGATATTTTCTCTTTAACCATTCTGTTCCTCCCTGCAAGGGTTTTCAGGATGGAGACAAGAAATTTCCTCTGATCCTTCCAGCCATCACAGCATCTCGCAAAGACTATGCCTATAGGATAGAAAACACATTAATGACAATTCACTTCTTCATTTGGTTTGGTGTCGTCAATCTTGGTTCTGGTATCTCCCAAGGGAGGGCCGGGACAGGCTGCTTGGGGTTCCCGACGGAGTCTCTTCACCCTCTGAACGGTGACAGGGTAACAGATAGCCCATTTATCAGAAAGGCAAACTGAGAGCACTGACTTCTTCAAAGGAGGGGAGGCGGGGAGTGAACTGAGCATCACAAGACCAAAAACCCTCAACTCTTTGAGCTCACATTTCCACACTCCATATTGCACAGAAGCCAAAGCGATACTGTTAAGAAAGAGACAGCAAAGAGAAAGCAGGAGGCGCGCTCCGCCCTGCCCCCATGTAAAGCGGCAGCCTGTGGCCCGTTGCTGCTTGCCCTGCTGGCCAGACCGACCCCTGTCCTGGCTTGCGTTCAAGCCCGCCTCGCCTCAGAGCTCGGGCGCTCTCCAAACCAGATGCCCCCTGCGAGCGAACGGCCTGCCTTGCACGCCATCTGGTGGCGGCCGCGCTTGCGCCCTTGCCGCCTCCTGGCTTCTCGCTTCCATTTGGAAGCCATTTCCAACGGAAGTGTGCCCCCTTCCACGCTGCTGGAGCCTTTAGGGCTTTTGATGGCTGCTTCATCCAGAGCGGGAACCGTTAGCAATCAGCCGGGTTACAGGAGCGAAGAGATGTGGCCCGATGTCGCTGCCTGTGTGCACAGAAATATCAAGGTGCCCGAAAGCTAGTTTTCAATTGTGCTGTTATGGCAAGAGCATTTTAAATAACTCATGCAGCCCACGCGATCAGCACAGCCGCAATACTTGCCTCCACACTTCTTTCCAAGGCGCATTTGTGAGATCAGTGGAACTGTTGGTCGGTCAACAAAGTTCTCAGGTTTTTTACCCAGTGTCTCCTTTATACTCTTGTAGCCATTCAGGATGATATAATTTGTCCACTCAGCCTGGAACAAGATGGCTTGTCCAATTTTTTTTCCATCTAGTAAATAGAGAAAGTTATTGTGACTTCCTGAGGGAAAATACAACAAAACAAAATGGTGCAGACTACTAAATGCAGTTCAGACTGGAAGTCCCTCATCCAAAAGATTTTTTCCAAGAAGACACTCTTGAAGAAAACAAAGTTCTGATAAGAGTTAACATCTTAGGGAACTTAAAAGACCCTCCATTTTTCTAATGTTTGTTAAACATCCAAGTGCTGTTGTCTCCTCTCCCTTCAGCCTTCTCTGTCTCCGTGAGGGACACACCTGGACACCTTTCCTAGGCCCCAGCCCTACACTTCCTGCTTCCTGAGAGGACCTACAAACCAGCAGCTTTTCTCACTGGCCGCTGCAATTAATTATTTCTTTATTTATTTGACCCATTTATAACCCGTCCTTACCCAGAACAGGTCTCAAGATGACTCACAGACAGGAACAGCACAAATTAAATACAATATAAAAATGTATAGAAAAATTCCTGTTATACAACAGCATCAAACCCTCAAATACTGGGTAAAGAAAAGGTTTTGGCCTGGTGCCGAAAGGAACAAAGCATCAGTGCCAGGTACACCTCTCTGGGGACCAGCTTCCAAAGCCAGGGTGCCACCACAGAAAAGGCCCTGCTCAGCCACTCTTCTCACCTCCTTCAGAGAGGCCTCCTGAAGATGGCCCTCAGCAGAATAGCTTACGGTTTGGACACATGTATAGGGAGGGAGATGCGCCCTGTTCTTGTAAACAAAGCAGCAGCAACCACAGAGAAGGAGAAGGACTCATGGATCTTCAAGACACAAGTACAGAAATCACGGGGGGGGGACGGGGGGGAGAGACACAGAAGAGGCCAGTTCCCCCACAAGCACTGCTGAAAGGGACCTATTTGTGGGCACTGGACACACTGACTTACCCAGGCCTGCTGCCGTGTACTGTACTTTGATGTCTGCCAGAGTGGCAACTTGCCTTTCCCCAACCAGTAGCTGGTCAAACCTGAGAGACATTTTCCTGTTTCCACACTTCCTCATGCCACACAAAAAAATGTTTTAATAAAATAAATAAATAAATAAATAAATAAATTTAGACTTTTGAATGGCCCAAATGTAGTGCAGACAGACGTTTCAGGTGTGGCTGGGAAAGCTAGCCTTCCCCATCCCATTGCTGCCACCCACCTCCCTTGTTGTTCTCGGGGCTTTGGAAGCCACGCCTGGGGTCAGCAAAGGCTTTTTAAAAGCTGAATTGCCATGCTGGGGTTTGGCAGAGTGCTTTTCCCTGAGTGATTATGCTGGTGGACTCTGGGCAATCCCACTGAAAGGTTACATGTCCCCAGTGGGGCTCCTGCCCTCTTTGGGATACAGCCTCACCCACTGCTCACATGCAGCCCACAAGGCGCCTGGGTGGAACCAAGGGCTTCCCATGCCTGCTTTAGGCAATGGCATTAGACAAGTGTTGGCTTGCTCCTCATGGCAACTTTGCATGTGCAAATGGCAGCCTGTGCTATCTCACCTTTTGCATCTTTGCAACCCCACAGAATTCCTCCAGTTCAGTGAAAGAAGGACCTGGCAAACTGCAGCTCCAACAGTATTTTCAGGGTTGGTGTGATAGCCTCATCAGCTGGAGCGCTACCTGCTTGCATCCTGGGTTCCAGGCCTGTCATCTGAGGTGCTCATGAAAGGCTTATGCCAGGCTTCTGGGGCCAGGGAGGGGATGAAGCGGGGCAGCCCATGCGCACACCCAGAAAAGCTCTGGCTTGCTGGAGGAATGATAGGCACCCAGTCCCAAAGCAGGCCAGCCTCACCCAGAGCTTGCAGGTTGGTTGCCTGGCACACAGTCTGTCCATAGAATCCCGCACCACCACCTCCCCTAATATACACATTTTTGAAAGCGTATTTCCC